CTTCCCGTGACCAAAACATAATTTTCAAATAATTTTAACTAATACACTTCGCACTTTAAACCGTTAAAGTGATTTCTTTAACACTTGCGTTTTAATTGGTTAGAGCAACAGCACGAAACGCCGGTGGCTGCCAGTTCAAGTCATGCCCGATTCGTATTTTTTTTCAATTTATAATCGATTTTTAATTTGAATATATTTATTAAAACCCAACCATGTGACTTTATTTTGTCTTTATATTTAACAACCCAGCACATTGTCATTTCATATTGTTGTTTGCATAAAATAAACTGTTATTATTGTAAGCATAATCTGCGTTATACCGTACTAAAGTTACCGAAAGTTCAGACAGCCTTACTAGAAGTAGAGAAGTAAGAAATAGCCATGTGTGTTAGGAAATAAACTATTGCTTTTTTATGATTGAGGAGGAAACGCAACGAGGACAGTCTTGTTCGATGAGACCGTGGGTATAATATGTCTTCTTTACAATGGATACCACATTTAAATTTTGTATATATCGTCAATATAATTGTAATTTATTTTTATACTTCGCTATGTATGCCATATTTATACATAACGGGTCGTGGGTTCGACCCCCACCGGGTCCAACATTTTTCTAATTCACGACCACGGCTGCTGCAAAGCATCCGAAAAGTCGGGCCGAAGTTAAAAATCATTTTCAAATAAGTTTAACAAATATATCGCGTTTTAAACCGTTAAAGTGTTTTATTTAAATGTGTACTACTCGCGTAAACTATAGACAGTATACGGCTCATCTTGTTTAGATGTTGTACGGTTGGGACACTTCACCTTCCATCAAATGAACGTCATGCTTCTGTGCTTTATCATAAAAAATGAGAAGACAATTCCGATGACATTTCAAAACGATGAATGTCGATAAAAATCTTTTCAATCGCGTCATATTAGCTGAAATTAAGTGGGAGTTTCAGTTGAGAATCGAAGCATAGTTCAAGAACAAAGGCTAAGACCTGAGAGCTCTCGAAATCTTTATAAATTACAGCAGATATTGGATTGATTTGTGAAATTCGAGCTCCTATATCTTCGTTACAATTTCTCTGGCTATAAACTTAGGGACGACAAACAGGAGACTAAATAAATAGTAAATACAAGAGTCAATAAAATGAAAACGTATCTTGACAGCGGCAAGTTCACGCCGTAACGGGTTACGTCATTTAATGCAACCTCACTTTAATTATAGTAACTTAGTCATAAAAAGCTCGATTTTGAAATCTTAGTACTTTATAGTTTAATTATGCCCTCCTGCCTGCATTACATCATTTAAAGTCCTACGTTCGAATTATAGTGAAACGTCGTTAATAGTTTAAGGAAGTCTCTATTTTAACAGCTTAAAATTGTTACTTTTAAATAAAACACTCGTATATCCCCATGATCATGGCTGCTGCAAAACATCCTGAACGTTAGACCGCAGTTAGTGAAATAAGTTTTACACATATACGCGTTTTAAACCGTTAAAGTGTTTTATTTATATGTGTACTACTCGCGTTAATTACAGACAATATTTAAATTGTTACATTATTGGTTTTCAAATGTTGTTTTACGTTTAAATATACTCATAAATTATTGTAACGTATGTACTTCTAAATTTTTAGTACGATAATTTTTGAGATAACTTAAACAGGTGTTCAGGTTGTAATTACATTTCGCAAGATGTGCATTTCTAGTTAAAATTCGACGATGACGGCCACGGTACCTCAATTGGTTAGAGCAACAGCAAGGAACGTTACGGATGCCGGTTCAAGTCTTGTCCCTGTCGTATTTTTTTTAATATACACTAGCATGTAGTTATAAAGTTAAAAAAAATTACCCGATAGTCCTCTCATGTATCTGGCGATCGTCCAAACGCCGTACTTTCAATAACACTGGCCAAATGTTGAATTTATGCCCGTTCACAAGCTCGACCGTACTTAATAGCTTGTAAAGGCCAGAATCGATAACAAATTTACGGTTAAACTTTGACGGTTACGATTAGTTCTATCATGCTGCAGAGGGATTTTAAATTGGTTCGTGATTAATGTATATTCCGTTAGCACTGAAAACATACTGTAGCGTCATCAGTGTATAGCGTCGTAGCATTCTTAATTCAAAATGGAGGGGGAAACATGGAAAATTTTGGTCGGCCAGCGCACAAATGTCTAATCAACGACTTACCCCTTTATAGATTTAAATAAGTTTCGGACACTCTGTCAATTGTTTAAAAAGCAATCTGAGATAGATAGAAGTTTTCTTTTAAAAAGTCGTCGTGAAGTAATTAATTATCATTAATATATACTGTCTATAGTTTACACGAACAGTACACATTTAAATAAAACATTTTAACGGTTTAAAACGCGATATATTAGTTATTTGAAAATGATTTTTAACTTCGGTCCGACGTTTCGCAGCTGCTTTGCTCCCATGTAGTGTCTCTCCGTGACCACGGCTGCTGCAAAGCAGCGACACTTCATTAATATATAATTTAGTGTAATATTTTGTACGTCGTTCTAACTTTTTGGGTTAGACAATACAAAGTTTTAGCGTGCAAATGTCGGATATATTTATTATTATTACCATTTAATATATATGAAATAAAAACAACGATATCTTCTTAACTTCGAAAGAATATTTTATTAGTACAGTTGTTCAAAATATGCACAAAGCCAAAATAAGATGACATCGCATCTTGTTTAGATGTTTGTCTTTCTTTCTGTCATCAAAAAACACACACTGTCGGGCTTGTAAGCAATTGATTTATTATGTATTATTTTTCATGTTGGACGTCGTCTCAAAATCTTTATATTAAATGAACGGGAGAAATATCGAAATTGCGGCCGGGTCAAGAACCACCGTCCACAGATAAAAAAGCCGTCAAGTTTAATTACGTTTCGCAGGGGATTTCTGGATATAGATTAACGAAGATTACAGGCAAAATGAGTTCAGAGCGAATATTGTTTAGATGTTATATAGCCCGGATATTTCACCTTTAAACCACATGTGTATCTGGCTTCCTGTGTCATTAAAACAATCAATCTATACTAAAATATAATAGAGTTTGTTTGTTTGTATTTTTCAACGCGCTAATCTCAAGAACTACGTGTTCGAATTAAAAAAAATATTTTTGTATAGTTTAGAGTACATTTATCGAGGGATAGGTTAAAAAACATTGCCCCGTGACTAATACAAGCGAAGATACAGCGGGAAATGTGAAATCAATTGAGAAAATTAATCACCATTATGAGTTTCCCAGACGTACGCAGCAAAAACGGTTCAAGATACCCCAAAAATATGTTGGACAAGAAATATTCCTCTTCAAATGATCTAAAAAGAATCCGGGCGCTATATGTCTATCTTTTAAGATCCACTTGCAAGAACGACGGGAAGGGACGCGACGGAGGTCGGGCTTAAAAGCAGGTAAGGTGAGGGGTTTGCAAAAAAGAGTTTGGGTGCCCAAAATAACGATTCGCGCGGACGAAGTCGCTGACACAGCTAATGTGTCGTATATACAACTGTGTGTAATGTACACTGGCACGTATGAAATAGTATTAAAATTGTTACAAATGCTTCTATCCTCCTCAATGTGTGACGTAGTTTTTTAGCGTTAATTGTTCCTCTCGCTGTTCAATTGTTTCTGTTTAATGATGTTTCAAAAGTAGGATGCTGGCTGTAAGCTTGTATTAACAACACATCATGTCATTCAAATAAATATAATATTATTTATTATCTATAATAATATTACAAAGTTAAAGTTCGTTTGGACTGACCTAAGCATAGCATAACGATTGGAGATCAGTAAACGGACCATGCTTAGTAAACATTAAGTATTATCTATATTTTATGTGAATAAAACGAATTAAACGGTTTCAAACGATAATTTTTATTCGACGTGAATTTAGTAAGGTTAATCACGTTTTAGAACGTTAAAAGTTATTATTAACAAATATAACTTACCAATTGTTAAACGAGATATTTTGATCCGAAAGGCGCTTTTACAAGAATGCCGTTGAGGTAACTTGCGTTACACTAGCCAAACTATGCATCATTTTAATGGTTTACCCATTAGGCCAGGTTTAAGCCATTACCCTATTACGTTACGTGGCGTTGGCTCGTAGAATAACGTAGCTAACGTAGAGATTTTTCGTAGCGACGTTAATGTGCTTATCCGTTAACATATCTTAAAGACCTTCATTGTTGTACGTTTAGCGTAATTTTAATAATCAAATTAAATGACTATAAATATGATATTATAATAAACTCTTTCTGGACGGTTTAAACCGCGATTTTAAAGTAAATTAATTACTATCTTGTTTATTAGGTTCAGATCTTACAATCTTAATGTTGATTTGTACTATATTTTATGTGTAATTTTCTTTTATATCTTGTCTAAAATATTATGGCGGATCCGGTCCTTTGATGATAAAACTTCTTCGCAACAATCAAAGTACATGATATTAATCGCTCGAATCAAAATACACACGAGATCACGCCAACGTTATATAAGTCAAGACAGGGCGTTGTAGTAGCCATAACAACGCATCACAAACACTTTTACGCGTAAAAAAGGAAAATAAATCATTGAAGATTAAAACCTTCTTTGAAATAGTTGAATTAAAATAATCTAATTGGGCGTTTTGACAATTGACATATTTATTTTTGACAATAGCTTCTTTTTTCAGCCACGATCTATGTACAGATTATATTCAGGTTAATTGACTAATAAAATATTTTTTATTTAAGTATCACTTACACATGTTTCATGATTAAAGTCTACCATAATGATTTCCTTAAAATATATTGTCGTGTCTCGTAAATCGTATGACGATAGAATAAAACCGTATTAAACAACAGATTATGGGTAAAATAGATGCTAATACTAAAACGACATCGAACTAAATAGACTAACATGAAAGGCTTCTTAAGGCTCTACTCTATCCCTAATTCAGATAACATGGAACAATAAAATGCATTACAATTTTATTAGACCATGGTTACGTGGGGTGCATGCGAGGTTGTGCGGGCGAGCTCACCGTAGGCATCAGCTGATCTGTACTCCTGACTCTCGTCACCTTGTTCTTGTAGATCAGCTTCTTCAGCGCCCTCTCCACTGGCTGGTTCCACCGCATGAACATCACGTACGCTCCATACAAGGAGAAGAGCACCAGTGCTTCCTGCCAGTAGATACAATTATCACGGAAACAGTATATCAACACGAGCAAACTGATCGAATAGAAGGTGCAGTCGCGGAACAACGGCCACCACGTCAGAGTCAGTGTGGTGCGCGAGAACAGCGCACAAGCACCGATCACGAAGAGGATATTGAAGACCGCGGACCCCACGATCGTCCCGATGCCGACGTCGTCGAAGGAAACGAACACTCCTATGATAGAGGTGAAGAGTTCGGGCGCGGAACCGCCGGCAGCCATGAACGTGGCGCCAGCGACGTCGTCGCGTATCGCCAGCCTCTCTATTATCACGTCGAGGGCTGGCACGAAGAATTCGTCGCATACTATCGCTAGGGCGACGAACATGTAGCCCATGCCGAGCACGTGGAAGATGACGGCTCCGGAGCGCCGCTGCTCCTCGGTGAACAGGTCTGTGGGGAAGAGGGGGGCTTTTTCCTCATCTGGAGTGACTGTGGAAAAAGTGGTGTTAGGCTCGTCGGCCCGCGCCGCCGCTAGCAGCGCCAGCAGCAGCGCGCCACCCATGCCGCGCGGACGGCCGCTGCGACCACACTAAGCGAACTTCGGACGCGATGCGATCTCCTAGGGATGAGGCTCGATTCTGGCTCGAGTCACCCGTCGATGTGTGCCGCCACCCTCTAGCTGAATCAATATTTGAATAACGCATTACAAAGTAACACGTCGTTTCGTGAACGAGATTTTTAAACTGTCATTCTTACGATTTTGTTTAAATCTTAACACTTTAATCATGAACATAAATTATACTTCCATACCAAACACAAAATTTTCTCAAAATTTTGCAGGTTTACGAATTTGGGTTCCAAATAACAACTATTTTATATATTTACTTTATTATTAAAAATTAACATTTTAAACATGTATATTATTACGTAGTTATTTGAAACAATTAGAATCATTCGTTTCGCATACAATCGATTGTGAACCTATCGATACATCGATGCGTCCCCGCACTAGTCCGCACCCAGGCACCGCTCGATAGACCTGCACTGCGCCGCGCCGCCGCTGCCCGCTTCAAAACTGCATGCCTATTATACTAGCTTTCTTCTATTTATACCTGTATTTCTTAGGCTTTGCATTTATATATTTTTTCTCGTTAAGAAATCAAATGATAATTTAAGTAATTACACAAAAAATCCGTTACTCACCTACAAAACACGTTTGGGAAACTAAAATAAATAAATATGGGTGTAGAAATTGTACAATACATTTTTTTCACTTTTTATTTTATTCAAATATTCATTTGGCGTTCAACAAACACACATATAAAATATATATTATTCTCTTTCACAAATATTACGCCAAATATATTGTGGAAAATATCGCACATATGAAATTACTTTTCTAGCAATGTTTACATAAAACTCTAACTGTGAAGTTACAATATAATTAGAAGACCCCTACAATAAAAATATTTTTTACTAGTATACGTTCATTCTACGGTCGAGTTATTTGCGTCCAGCAGCTACGAAAATTCCTTTTTTAAATTGTGTTTTATATAAAGAAACTATATTACGATATTATTTCTGTTAACCTTGTGGAAATATAAGTATTCGTTAAATTAATATTTATTTATCTCAACACGGTAATGTCTAAAAAACTGTTAATACTTTATTACAAATATAATTTTCTATTAAAACTTAGCAAAATGTTGGGTTAAAATAATTCAGGAGTTTTATGTTAGAATTGCACAGTAGGTATATTACAATTATCCGAATGCAACATCAATGGAATCAACATTGTTTCGAGCGATTTTAATGAGATACGTGTGGTCTGCCTCACAGTTCCAGGTGAATAAGTATTAACATCTTATAAAATAAAAAGTTATGAAAGTATATATTTTGAATAGACATTGAGATTACGGTAGTTGTTAATTTGTAAAATTCAGAAGTCATCCTTTAGTTAATTATAGGTAAAATATATACTACATTTAATTGTAATTTTAAATATACTGCATTAGAAGAGGTTAAAAGTAATAATTGAAGTTAAATTAGAAATAAATTTTTAGAGATGTTGATGCATAGCTGCATATATATTTGATTTGATCGTTAATGTTTATTTATTTATAAATATATAAAACATTTTAGTGGTTTAAATAAAACTATTGTTTTTGATGATTATTGATGAAGGTATCATAAAGGCCATTTTAATTTGAATAAATATTAGAAGCAAAGGCGGAGGATCGTAATTGTCGGCCAATTACCTTGTATCTTGACTATCGTTTACTACATGAAATAAAAAATATAGAATCTTGTTATGTGTCAATTGTCAATAACTGACGACAGAATATAAAACGGAACACAGACTAAAAATACCCAATCATATGAATTTGAAATATAAATGTCATTGACCGAGTTATCACAGTAAGGCCAAGTAAGGCTTCGTGTAATTAGATTAAATATTAATTGATTTTATGTATTAATTTCATTACAAAAACACTCTCAGCAGAATTCAACATGTGGCTCGATCAAGCGGACGGGTTCGATGAGATATTCAAGGGATATTTACCTTACTACTTATTAGTTATGTTCCCAATTTTGATAATAATGTCCCCTGTCAACCCGGTGGCTGCTTCTCACGAGTTTTCTGTCTATAGAATGCAACAATATGATCTTCATACTGTTCCCCATGGTGAGTCAATTTATTATTTTTTTTAATTGTAAATTCGAATGCAATAAATTTTAGGTTATGAGTAAAATTTTCCTAATTTTTTTCGAAATACATAAATAATTGTAGTATTTTTCTATTCACCTGATTAAATTATTAAAGGAGCCTTAAAAATAAATATACAAGTAAAATATATAAATACATATAAAGAGATTTTGCAAATAGTCATCTTATCATCTTAATTTAGGGCAAATTTACATAAGATATACCTACTATCTTTGAAGCTGTATGTTGATTTAGGTATTCTGAAATATTCAAAGGTGACCTATTAGGCTAATTTATACTAAATATACTAGCTTCTGCAACAAAACCATATTTGTATAAGATTTGAGTTTTCTTGCTAAAATTCTTTTAATTAGAATTACTATCAAACTTGGGGCTTAGTTGTTATGAAGTAAAATAGTCATTATTTTTTTACATTGGTCATTTAAATTTATTATTAATTGCATTAATTATAATTATTTTTGTTTATCCAAGGTTGTCGTAGCTCAAGCTTCAACTTAGAAGGCCGCTCTCTTACATTGTGGAGCACTTCTCGCCACTGCGTTGTAGCTCGGATCCAAGACATTACCATTGAACAGTTTATTGATATTAGAAACAAAGCCGGGGCATTGTTGCTTGTGCTCCCTAAAAATGATACCCTGCTGACGGATGATGAGAGAGAGGTATCTAAAACCTTTTTATTAAGTGATGTTTAATATAATTTTGTAGAGCATCGGGTAAACAACTTTCACTGTCCAGTATAGACCTAATGCTTTGCATTACACTTAACTTTGACAGTCACCATATAGACTTCTTCATAAAGAACTAATACTCTAATAAGCTCTGTTTATGTTTTATATTATATAATTAAATAACTATATTTATTTTATAGAGAAATACATAATAAAGATGTCTGTGTCCCTTAATGTGATCAGTTTTATTTAGGAGAGTTGTTAAATTTCCCTTTGCTTTGTTGTAAACCTATAATGCTTAAGGCATAGGCTGCTTGAAACATTATATTAATCAGTATATAATATAATACTTTCAGCACATTTACCTTCTTGAAGCTGTAATGGCACAACAAGAAGTGAACTTACCAGTCTATTTTGCTGAATGGTCGTCCGACTTTGAGTATATAATTAAAGACTTACAACACAGCTTTATCACAGATGAGAAGTCAGGGACGGCTTTGGAAGCAATGTTCAATACAGTGTCGTCAAATGGATATCAGATTGGTAATTATTTTTTGTCTTTTAAGGCTTCCTAGGTATTAAGGGTTGAGTAGAACTTTTTAACGACTTTAGCTACTAATAAATACAAATTTTCAATTTCAGTTGTATCCACACCAGCTATTCAAAAGTTAGATTCAAAACCGACTGTTCTTCATGGTAAACTGACTGGTCGGGCGGCATCTGCACAGACTATTGTTGTAGCCGCACATTATGATGCTTCAAGTGTTGTTCCTGTAAGTTAATATAACATAATTGTTTGATCATTTACATAAAGCTGATAAATATGCGAAATTTTTGAAATTTGTGAGTACTCATTGTGTTCTCAGAGACTTAAATTATTTTAGACTAGTATATAATTTTTAGCAAATATCTGCAGTTTACTTGTATCTCTCATCCTGAATTCAAAAACCAGACATTACATTTTGTTTAAGTTTTTAATTGTTGAACTTAACTAAAAAAGTTGATCAGTTAATTTCATAGCCAGTAGTTAGTAGTAACATTTCTCAATTAATATTTCTTGGTTTTTGGTTATTTACTCCTGACTTTCTAGTGTTCACTAAAAAGTCAGGAGTAATTAACCAATTATTTTTTTCTTCTCTTCAGTTGTTGGCCATCCTAGTTACAAACTTCACAGTGTTTTAGTTTATTATAAAACAAACATATATTTTTAGGAGCTGTCGTTTGGAGCAGACTCGAACGCTTCGGGCGTGGTTGCCCTCTTGGAGTTAGCTCGTGTGTTCTCCCGCCTCTACGGCAGTGCTGCAGTGCGCGGTGGACCTTCCATACTGTTTCTGCTGGTCTCAACGGGGCATTCGCTCAATTATTTCACAACTAAGAAGTGGCTTGAGGAACATTTGGACACGGCGGATTCTTCTATTCTTCAGGTATATAATGTACTAGCGGCCCTGTCCCAGTTTCGCACGAGTAGACATAAATAAGTACAAATATTTAAATTATAAGCATGCTAATTAAAACGACCAAGAATCACTAAATTAGAAAAAAGATTGTATTGCGCGTCCTATTAACGACCGTGGTCTATCTCGCTGGTTTAGGAGTTGCTGCTAGCATTCAGTGTCAATGTCCCGTGCACGCGTTCGCGAATTCCTAGCCAAGTCGCTGACGATCTTGCATTTTGTTCTGCAAGACGAACCTGAATATTAGACAGATTCACTGGCTCGCGATTGGGACGCGTACACTCTTATACTTTCCAGGCGATCATTATCATTTTCAAAAGACTCTCCAATACGACGAACTTTTGCTAATCTCGCTTGGGAACTATTCTTAGATATTTATTTTAAATCAGAGTAATTAGGAATAAACTAATAATAATACAAAAGAAAATATTCAAGTTCAAAGGAATTAGTTCTGAAAAGAAGTTGAACAAATATTATTCAAAGTGTGAGTCCTTTAAAAGAACGCTTTAAATAAAGCGTAAAAATTAAAAAAACCTCGAAATATTCAATGTCACTCGTGTCCACTGCGTAAGGAGCCCACTGCCAAACAGGGCTGGCGGCCGCCGGCATTATTTTAATTTTAATTTCATGATATCTTTTGAATGGCATGTCCGATTTCAATAATTCAAGAAATAATCATCAGGTATTGAGACAGTCTTGAATATTAAATAAATTTATTTCGATAAAAATGTATAAAGGGTTTGTATAACACGTCTGAGTGCTTTCTATTAAATTGTCAAATGTAAAAAAGTAGTTATAGTTTCGTAACTATAACGATATTGATATATTCTATAATATTGTCAAACATTTTTTTGTCCTATCATTAATACTTTTCGCAGCGTATGCGAAGAAAGACATTTTACGGGTAATTTTTTTACGCCTTCCGTTGGTTTTAGGAAGAATTTTTATAGATGCCTATAGTAATCAAGTACTAAATATACCATTGTAATAATGTAGCTTTCTAATGAAAAAAGAATTATTCAAATCGGTCCAGTTATTTTTGAGTTTACCCATTACATACAAAAATACAAATCTTTCCTCTTTATAATATTAGTATAGATTATTGGCCACATACACGTGTCACGTATTTATTTTAATTTGTGATCAACCTTTTCGTTCTGCCCGAGCAAACCTCGACGCAACGATATGCAGATCGCTAATCCAGCAAATTTTAACTCATTTGTTTTTGATTTCTTAAAGATGGTTAAGTCATGTCAGGACACATCAATGATCTAAAACTAGGACAGAGAATGGCGTGGCCAAAAATTGGTGTTGGGTTCTTCTTTTTATCAATATTAACTATGAAAAATTTACGATACGAAACTTGGATCCATGACAAATGATACCTCAATTGGTTAGAATATCAGCACTGAACTCTATTAATGCCAGTTCAAGTTCCGCCTGTGTTGTAGTTTTTTTTTCAAGATTTTTAATTAATTGAAGTGGCCATTATTCAGTGTTAGTTTAGTTTGGATTCTGTTTATATTAAAACGGTGTTTAACCTATTTCAGGACGTATCGTTCGTAATGTGTCTAGACTCAATATCATCTGGGCCCCTAAAAATGCACGTGTCCAAACCCCCTAAGCCGGGGACCGTTTCGCACTCCATGAAGTCTCGTCTCTCGGTGCCCTTCGTCCACAAGAAGATCAATCTGGCTGACGAGCTCTTGGCCTGGCACCACGAGCGGTTCAGCATCAGGCGGATGACGGCTTTTACCCTAAGCTCGTTGGAGGTAATATCTATACTAATAAAGCTCAAGGATTTGTTTGTTTGTTAGAACGCGCTAATCCCAGGAACTACTGGTTCGACTTCATTATTTTTGTGTTGGTTGGTACGTTTTTTGATTTGCACATTTGTTAGAGACATCCTCCATCTTTGGTCTCCCCGTGACCACGGCTGCTGCAAAGCATCCGAAGCGTCGGGCCGAAGTTAAAAATCATTTTCAAATAAGTTTAACTAATATATCGCACTTTAAACCGTTAAAGTGTTTTATTTAAATGTGTACTACTCGCGTAAACTATAGACAGTATTTAAAATACTAGATCCCAAAAACAACGTACCGGCAAAAGAGAGTACCAGCTATAAATTGTGTAAGGCTTTCACGGCCATCGTTCAGCAGTTTTTCGGGCTGAAAAACAATATGGAGTAATCAGTACTCCTATAAAACAGACAGCACATAATTTTCAAATACTTTTTCAGAGCCACAAGGAACCGAGACGAAGCTCTTTACTAGATTCATACACAGAGCCATCTCTTGAGTCCCTTGTCGACAACATCAAGACAACCGCGCGTGCCTTAGCGTCTCACATATACAACATCACAGAGGAAACGAGCGAAGAAGACTCCGCTATGTTTGACGAGGCATTGGTGAGTCACTTTTTTATGATAGAGGAAGACAGATGAGCGTCGTATACCTAAACGTGGTGCGCTGTCCAACTATTTTGGCTTTGGATATTCGGATATCCACCGATTACCGAGATACCGTTTTTTAATAAGTGATCGGGTCTGGGATGAACACCACCCATCGAACCAACGACCCGTTAACTATTAGTAAGTAGGTGACTTAATGTGTCTAGGGGGGGGGGGGGGGGTTGACCTGTCACATTCAAAATCTTACAATATCTTTAACTTTTTTCTATTTAAATGCATTTATAATGCATATCCTGTTACAAGCTATGAATATATTTATTCGTTCCCCGTGACCACAACTTTTTCAAGTCAACTAACCGTCACAGTACATTCACAAGTAAGTAATGCGTTTCGCGTTTAAAACCGATTAACGCTTTTTACATCTAGACGTATGTTGTTGTGAGACTGTATCGTGTTTCGCGTGACTTTATCGTCATACTAATACATCATAATGAATTTAATTTTTTAGAACGTAGACGAGGCGTCGGTACGAAGCTGGTACAAGTATCTAACATCTCAAACGCGGGCGCCGCAGTTTCTCACAACGGCGACGCAAAATGGAGGTAGGTTAAGAATACAAAACATTTTTGACCGTTTAAAATGCAAAATATATTAGTCAAATACTGCCTGTAGTATGCGCGAGTTGTATACAATTAAATTAAAGCGTGATCACGGGAACATTACAGGTGGAGGGCGTATCAAATGTCAGAGTAAAAATTGCTAAGCTAGCGCCATCTGTTCCGGCGTAGTTGGTATTTGCCAGGCCGTTAAAGTGTTTTATTGCAATATATTGTTTAACTTATTTTAACAACGGTCCGTTATTTCGGATGCTTGACAACAGGCGTGAGTGACCACAGTGTATATTTCGCGTTTCTAACCGTTCAAAGTGTTTGATTAAAATTGTTTTTTTGTTAAATTCTAATGAAGATTATTATTGTTAGGAGTAACAGGAGCATTAGAGAGAGCGATGACTAGATATATGGAGGTCACAAGTTCGGTCCACGTCGTCGACAAAAGGGAACCCGAGTATACGTTGTATGGACCCACGAAAGCTGTATTATATGTTTATAGGTGAGTATTTAAGGTGATAATTAGTGATTCAATAGTCCAGAATTTATCTAGAGAAATCAATTGTGATGAACATACCTTGGTAAAAATATTACACAAAACTGAAAGTGCCCACTGTCGAAAGAACTTACGTATTAACTAAAATGTATAATAAAAGTAAAATAAAGTGAGTATTAAGTTTCTTACTTTATTTTATTTTAGGGGAGGTAGGGGAAATTTGAAGATAAGGGTAAGTCACACAAGAGAAGTTACTCTTCTGAATACAATGTCATCAGTAACCTAAATTGTTATATTGAATTATCGATATTTGCATGGAGACTTCATAGAAGACATGCTTAAACTATTAATCTAAAATTTAAACGGCTAACTTACGGCCGTAAACATAAACGAGTGTAATTTTTTTGGCTAACGTAGTGTTTTTTTTTTCCAGTGTCAAACCGGCAGTATTTGATCTCATTTTGACATTGGCGATAGTCGCCTATCTCGCTCTAGTCTACTTCGCGATTCAAATATTTCCACGCTTCTACACAGAGTATGCGAAACTTGTTACCGGCAAAGAAAAGGTGTACTAGAGGTGCATTTCTACGACACTGCAACACTTGAAAGAATTTCCAAAATTAAGAAATCCGTATGTACAGTACTCTCCAAACTTTTTGTCCGGGCTGAAGTTAGCGCGGATGGTTACGCAGAACGCAAAAAGCAGGTATCAGTCGCGACAAAGAGGGTGCGCGGGTGCAGGGCGACTCGACTTTTTGCATAAAATTCACAGAACCATTTCCCAAGATGGCGGTCGCGCTAAGATCAGTCCGGCCAAAAAGTTTGGAGAGAACTGTATTTAAAAGCGAAAGTATGTTTGTTATCTCTGTCACGCGTTACATAAGCGGTCCATTTGATTTTGGAGTAAGATCTCTTTACACAAAATATCCTTCTCTTTTGGTGCCCATTGCCTGCTTGCAATCATAAGTAACATGCGTGCATAGATATCTAAAAGCCACCTTTAATTGCACTTATAAATAAAACACGTTTAATGGTTTAAAACGTGAAGTATATTAGTTAACTTTATTTGAATTAAAATTTAATTACGGCTCGACGTTTTACGGAGGTCCTAAAGATGGAGGGTGTCTGTAATGTCAAAGTCATTTCTGCTATGGTAACGCCATCTCTTTAAACTAGTTGGGACCTTGCGAAACTTACTAACGTTGTCCTCTTGATTTTCTATTTGAATATATTTCGCGTTTAAAACCGTTAAAAGTGTTTTATTTAAATGTGTACCACTCGGTACTACGGAAAATACTTGACGTTTTTATTATCAATTTTGTACGGTATAATTGGAATAGCATGAACTTGGCTGCAGTGTCGTTGATCAACTAACTTTATTTGACAGTCTATAAACTATGCTAAATCCAAATATTTCTCAAATTATCTTTGCTTTATTTCACTTGGTTATGGTTTTGTTATTTTACAACGAATGTTATTATTCTGAATTTTATGTAAACACGTAATACTTTTCGAATAGTTTTAATTATAGTCAATTAAAATGTCTGAAAACATATACAAAAATAGTTACTCAAACGTTATTCGACATCAATATAATATTTCACGATTCCTAAATACTGAAAAACGCTCGTTTATTTGCCGTCCTTGAATTTCAGTGATAGAACATGAGGTACAATAATTGTAAAATATATTTTTTTGTAAATTATTGTTGTAAACTCAACCATTGTGGGAAATAGAAAGCGTATGTGCAAAAGAAATTTCTCATCTATATCGACATTTCTAGAATTGGTTTATAAGTGGCATAAACTTTAGCAGTTGTTCCAAAATTATACGACCAAAAACTTGGCGAACGGCGAGTAGTGTATATATATCGCTACTTTTGTCAGTAGGCTATAAGCAAGTGTAACAGACGACTTCGTACGCCATTTAATATTAAAAACAAATAATTCGCTTGTTCGTCGATTGGCGAGTTTTATAGTTTTGTCGCTGAGCGCTAAACGAGTTAAACTCGAGTTAGTCTTGACCGACAGAATGAACAGTATGCGATAATGAAATAATATTATATCTGTTATTTCCACGGAATATTAATATGTAGCAGGCTTTTGAATCGAAAATTGTTTTAAAATAAAACTACGAGAAACCTTAAGATGCAAGAATATTTAAATGCTTTGTTGCGGAGAGACACAATCAAACTGCAGCAAGGACAAAATTGCTGCAGCAACTAAAACAGCAGCTAGTAATTTCTTCGTCGGCGATGGGACAACTGCCTATAATTGAAGGCCACAATTGAAGTTCATGTGTTATGTTAATAGTTTATTTGCCTGGTTATGGTTCTTTAATCTTATTTCTAAATCCTGTTTATTTGTAGTGTATGTGAAAATCGATTTTAAAAATCAATTATCCAAGGCTAGTCTGCCGTGTATCGTTTGTTGTATGAAGTACATATTTGATTTAAACGATATTTATTAATTTACTTTGTTCTGCTTTTATCATTCTTTAGTCTCGCGCGCTTCAATTTGCTTTTATCTATATAATATAATGTTGTCTCTTTCACACACTGATCTATAGAACAATAAGGGCGCTGTACAAATTCGGGCCGCGAGATTTGTTTGAGGATTATTGTTCTCGCCTTGTAATGTTTTGAACACTGCCAGATTGTATTAACAGCTAAGCGGTACGCGATCTAACGCAATTATAGAAGACCATAGCCTTATTTGTTCAAAAAGTATTTGCATTTATAAACAGAAATAGTGTTTAACAAAACAATTGTAACATTAGGCAACAATTTGGTTTGTATAAAATTACGAATTAAGTAATTGTTTTAAGTTTGATTTATTAAATTCAAAACAACAATTTGTATATCTTCGTTGGTTAAATTTTAAAGAAGACAGTAGGTATATATATACATTTATAATTAATTTCATTGTTTACGTTACTTTAAATTTTCTTATGAATTTGTTTTTTCTTTTGACTTCAAACAATATTTTTAAAGACTTTTTAGTTTGAATTTATTTCCATTTGCACTTTCATATTTCAAATGCATTTAATTATTATTGTTTTTCATCTGTCTTATCTTGAAATGTTATTCGGGTTTTCGTGCTGATCCACCGTCGTTCTTAAGAATAGTGTCTTTAGATGTTGAGAGTTCCTTAAATAAGCGAAGACTGAAGTCAGTCAAAACACCAGCTCGCATCCCAGGAAAGCATTACAAAGTGGAAGCAAAATCCCGTAATAAAATTTATATTGGATCTCTTTCTAATTTTACAAGTTTTTCTGTTTATCTAAAATTTAAATGAACTTATGAAATATTATTTAAAAATCCAATTACATACCGAGTATTATTTTAATATGAATAGAACAAACTAATGTCTTGTGCTTGGTTAAGTGAAAATGGCGTAGTTATTAGGGAGTAAAATAAATCCTTGTTTTAATAAATATAGTGTTTTATTTGTAAAAAAAATATCAAATCTTGTATAAAAATAAAGCTGCATGTATACATAATTCCTACACTATGAGTATATTGTTACACTGGGGACTTGTGTCCAACAAAGCTAGGATTTATAGCAATCTTAAGATCTTGCATGGGCGAACCCAGGGAGGGGGTCCCCCCCATCTTGCTTTTCAATCTTTAACCTGAGTACGCAAGATCTAGTATAATCTTATTAATAGAATTTATCCAAAAATTATCCTTCGTATACTTCAGCAGTAGCGGCTCCATTGATATCTTTTAGTTCGGTGGATTTAAACGTCGCTACGAAGTTGATTTTCCCCAATTTCTGCAAGAGATACTTTGTATATTATATCTTACTGCTAACAGTAACTTACGCGAGTGGTACAAATTAATTCATATCGAAATTGACAGCGGCTTTTTAGAAAAAAATATCGATTTGGTTGTCACTTTTGCCTAGGTCTACTTACGTACTTAACTACAGTAAGTAAGTAAGCCTTTTGAATTTATCTACGTTCATAAATGTACGTGTTACCAACATTTATAAATAAAGTTGTATCTATAATTGACAGTTTTATGATTTAATAATAGAGGACAGACAACCACGAGGTTCCCTTGATGAGAGGTGATATACCCCCGCCCATAGCATACTAGATGCATTTGTCGACCTATTTTGGCTTTGGATATTCGGAAATCCACTGACTGAAATCGAAACGTGATTAAACTTCACGGCTTTTTCATCTGTCGACGGCGGTTCGTGACCCGGACGGAATTCCATTACCACCCATATTAACCAGATTTCCAGACGAAGTCCAACATTATACAGTAAAATTATGAACCGATTAGACCCGGTTGGACCGGGGGGGGGGGAAAAAACGGACCCGGTTGGACCGGGGAGGGGGAAAACCAGGAATAATGAACTTAGGACCCCGTTGATTATTAGCCTTACATTGCAGTACACAACGAGCAACGATTCTTACGCCCACCCACGTTTCTTACGCCCTACAGTTGGGGGCCCGGGACATTAATTGGGTTTTATTTACTGAATAAAATTTTATTCTTACATTAGGTTGTACAGGTAACTCTGTAGTAAGTGTTTCCTTGGGTGGAACATCAGCTGCTGCTACTCGGAAGGTACGGCCGGCTATACCGGATGACGTCAACCGGAACTCACAACCCGTCAAGGGTCGATCTAGGGGATTGACAAATGACAGGACTATCGTTGACGGCTGATCGATTACGAGGTCTTCATTGAACTGTAAAGAGGGTAAACTTAAGTTCTATAAATGTATTCTGATTCGGGTTAGCGCGAAACATATTAGGTGATTTTTAACACTTTTGACAATTTATTTTATTAGGACGCTTTTCAGCCGTCGTCACGGGGAGACACCTCGGGTCGTAATTACTACATTTCAAAGTGATAGATTTCGCGGTTGAAACCGTTAAACGTGTTTTATTTCAATAATGCTGGTTCTGTTCGCTTGTCCTGTATTGTATGTATTGTAGCTCATGAGCTTTGTTAAGAACGGCTTCGATTCCCACGGCAAAAAACAACTAATTTCGGCCAGGCAGAACAGTGGCCGTGGAAAGACAAATATGTGGTGGCCCCACGTTTTTCATAGGAATACATAGCATAATAATAAAGATAGATCACCGTACGAGGTTCTGGCTTCAAATGCCTTAATAAAATTAAATTACCAAAACAGCTTATATAATAAAAAAGTTGTCGCTTAAGAGAATGAAAAATATATAGTAACCGATTCTCGAATCTACTGAATATGCCCGAGAATTTTATATATTAGTACAGTAACCCTTTTAAATAAAACACTTTAACGGTTTAAAACGCGAAAAATATTAACTAAACATATTTTAACTACGCCCCGACGTTTCGAAAGCTTTGCAGCAGTCACGCGGTCACGCGGTTAAAATAATTTTCAAATAAGTTTAACTAATATTCGTGTTTTAAACCGTTAAAGCGTTTTATTTAAATGTGTACTACTCGCGTAAACTACAGACAGAGTAATTACTTACTTTGATGCTAATATTCGGTTTCAGGATCTGAAAGTCGTCATCATCCGCCCAAGACTGCTTCGTCTCGTCAACGATGGCCATCGCGGATATCTTCATGTTGCAGTACTCAACGAGTTTGGGCAAATAGTCTTCAGCCTGAACTAGTATGCTCACTTGTTCGTCTGTTAAGGAACGGGAGAATAAATTATTGAAAACATAATTAAATAAAAGATTGATAATCGGGATTCGAACCAACTACCAATAGCGTACCGTACTGTTCTAGTGACAAAGCTTGGTAATTTGGTATACGAACATTTGTCTCCCAGTGACCACGGCTGCTGCAAAGCATCCGAAACGTCGGGCCGAAGTTCAAAATCATTTTCAAATAAGTTTAACTAATATATCGCGTTTTAAACCGTTAAAGTGTCTTATTTAAATACCAACATTTTTCAAGATTTAAGATATTTTTGTTATAACATCTGCAAAACTTAATACGAAAATATAATAAACGATGAGACAGGCGGAATTCGAACTAACGACCATTAGCGTACTACTGCTAAAGTAGGTAGGTAATTAAAAGACTAACAAGATTCAAAGTACGTTTAAAACAATAACAGCAAACGTATTATTGGTGTGTTTATTATATTTATCGATGGCTTCGATCTCCACAGGGTCCAACAGTTTTATAATAAACTTCTTGGATATCTGGAAATCGCCGTCCAGAGTCGATAAAGTCGTCAAGTTTAATCGCGTGAAGGTTTCAGGTTTACAATTTAACACGAAGCTTACTCTTTCCAGGTCCAACGAAGAGTTTTCCTTCAACCTTCTTGACTACGTCTGATTTTACACCGTTGTAAAAGACGCTGGTAGCTGACAGGGCTGCCTTAATGTTGCGACCCTAGATAGAAAAAATAAAAATCACTATCGTATTCCGTTATAGAAGAACACTTAAGCTATAATTTTAGTCACATCTTGGAAAAATGCGCTGTCGACCTTTTTTGGCTTTGGATATTTGGAATTTCTTTATATTTTTTTATATATTTTTATTTCTGCTTATATTAATCACTCATATCTAAAATTATTATTGTAAATATACTTATGAACATCAATATGGTTTCAAACAAGAACATTACATTTTTCTGTTAAGAAAATAACATTTAATACATATTCTAAAGACCAATTTCTTTTTCCTTTTAGTTTAATTAAGTTTTATAGGTAATGAACCTACTACGAAAAAATAAGTATAGTAAGAAAGTCCAACGTTTGTGGGAAAATAAGTAACTAAAATGTTGATTTTAACGTCTACCTCCTGGGAAGCCTTTAACCTTCAGGTCTCTGAAAAGTTGAGACGCACGAGTACTTCCTATTTATATCACTAGAATCTAATTGATATTTTGCATTACCTCCGTTTCTGACGTGTTCTCAATGTCGATGGTGACTCTAAACGGCTTTCCTATGGGAACAGTCTCTAGCTCCCTCAATTTGAAATTTACGTCGTTCGAGAGGTTGGCTGCCACTGCGTAGTACCTGAAAGACATTCAAAATTTTGTTCAAAAAGTATTTCATAATATACGTAAGGCTTGTTTATATAACACCATATGAACACCATGCTTGATAGAAGATGCGTCGTAGTCCTCCTTTGTCAATCGCGAGTTTGTATGTCGTAGATATCAAGCTTTTAAATGTTTTATCCATATTCTACAGAATTATTTTATAGTTTCCTTTTGACCGAGAAAGAGGAGATCCCATCGTCCTTAGCCGGTTAACCACTAGAGACAAAATTAAGAAAATAAGCACGGTAGTTTTGAAACACTTGGTTTAACTCCTGGGATAACGATAGTTTCGACCAGCTGGCAATAGAAGTCTGAACTATTTAAAATTGACACAGAAATATGTCTGCCCCGTGCCACATAGGGAACGAGGAACACAAAAAAAATATCTCATATAAATCATACCGCTTAGCTCGTTCGGAGTATCTGACGCCGTTCATGAGCGCTAGACGTTCGCTGGCTGTGCCCTCACGATGCTTGTATTGAGCTGTTATGTCTTCCCGGTCCTCGTCTCCCAGGGGGTCGAACACGTATGGCTTTTTCGTGAGCACCATACGACCGATGCTGTGTAAAAAAATGCAAAGTGGATTTAGTTTTATTATTATCTATTACATTTTCGTGCAAGTTTTAGCTACATTTTTAAGAACGTAGTACTAAGTCCGTTGGTGCTATATTAATTCACAGTCCACTTTCCTATTATTTTTTGTAGACTTCATTTGAAAAAATTGTTAACTACCGCCCGAAGTTTCGGATGCTTTGCATTGCTTTGCTCGTCGTCCACAAATTAAAAACTCTAGATTCAGAAAAACCGCATACCGGCAAGCGCGAAGGCACCGTTAAATTTGGCAAGGACCCGGCCAGTTTCACCAAATGCCAACTTTAACGAAGCAGATGGTGCTAGCGTAGCAGTTTTTACTTTTATATGTATTAGAGACACCCTCCGTCTTGACTCTATGGTCTAAATGATTTGATTTCATTTAAGACTTCTTAACTTACTGGTAGTTGTTCGTATCGACCATAGAGAAACCGTTTTCAGCGTCAGGGTCTCTCCTCCAACGCATGAGGTCAGCGTTGACTGATGCCAACATAAACTCCACATCATAGGATACCCCAATGACCCCTTGTTTGATCGCTTCTAGGGGTGCTGGACCACATTGGTACATTCCGGAGGAAGTCTCTTGTGGTGTGGCATCTATGGCCTGCCAACCACCATAACCTGGAAATGGATGACGTCAAAAATAGAATCTCGTTATGATGTATGGGACATGAGGCGAACACATTTGTGTGTATGTTTTAATGATCGGTCTTACAAGCAATTTGATCGGATTTCTGTGCTTTGCCCGACGACAACAATTTCTTCATCCACGGGATTCGAACCCAAGGATCTCTTATTTAACCATTGAGACTTAGCGATCTTATGATATCATAATTAACGCTAAATAAAAAGTTTATCGATCTTAAATTATTTATTTTATATTAATGATTGATTTAAATTATTTTAAAAATCGAAAATAAATTTAAAAGAATTTTCGACTCGGGCAAGACTTGAACCGGCATCGTCAGCTTTCCGTGTTGTTGCTCTACCAATTGAGCTACCGAGTCCTACACCTTATCGTCGAAACAACTTATTGATACATGCACCTCTCGCGCAATGTAAATTGTTTAAATTATTCATTATTATGTTTGTATGTACCATCGAAATTGATAAATCCAGGTTTTTTTTGTTAACATTTAACTTGATTGTGTTTAATTACTATTTTACGAGGATTGTGCTATATTTATTAATCTAAAGTTCTTTCAGTTCTGTTATATCACATTACCTGGTGGTAGATCAGGTCTTGCCATCCATACGTCATTCCACACATGGTAGTTCCAGATGGAGTCTGCACCCCCTGGGTTGCTGGGGTCATAGTCCAACTCCTCCATGTTCTCTGTATAGTATTTGTCCACAGTGAGGGAACTGTTTGCGTCATGGGCAGACACCAGATTGGAGACCACACGAGAAGGAATACCCAAAGCGCGGCAAACTGTTGATACAGTATACATAAGTAGAGGTACAAGATACATAATTTAAAATTAAATATAACCATTTAATATTCTAGATATAAAAAAAAATCAAACCGGCTTTTAGCTAAACATTTTGCTGTGGAATGCAAAACAATCACACTCACAGACAACGTCAGACGATATTAAATTAATTCAAAGTGCTTAATTATTTAAAGTTTATACCCTTTTTTGTCACACGTATAGATGGGATTTAACGTTAAAATTCCTCAAAGTATCCGTTATTAATATTAATAAGATTTGAATCGACTTGAAATATTTAAATAACATTGGTACGTGACGCGCTTCACAATAATACTAGCTGTTACCCCCACGTCGTCCGCGTCCCGTCGTTCTCGCGATTCGATCTAAAAAGGTAGACTGCCGAAATTTTTTTGTCATTCGAAGAAAAACCATTTAATACATACTCGTTCGGTTTCTTTGTCCCCGTTCTTTTCCACGTTTTCCCTATGTCTTTGCTCCTATTGGTCGCGCCATATTTTTATATTAAGTTGCGGACCCCTTCCCCCCTACCCTTCCTCGATAAATGGTCCAACCAACACAAAAATATTTTTTCAATTCAAAAACGGTACTTCTTGAGATTAGCGAGTTCAAACAAACTCTTCAGCTTTACAAAAGTTGCATAGATGTTTGAGATATTGACATTTTATAAACGTCTACACTATGAGTTGAAAATAGAAAATGCGCCGTTGACCTATTTTAACTTTTGGATAAAACGAAAGAAGCACTGCTAGTTAAGTATGTTTTTATTTTTTAGTTTTGTATGCTTTTTTGGGTGTATGTTAGTTGTTTGTTTTGCACATCTAGTTTTCTCTATTTTTTTTTAATTTAAGTTGCCTGAAAGAGATCTCTTGTTAGCGGCAAGGCCGCCCATTTCACTTCATTCTAGCATATTATCTGTATTATTTTTATGCAATAAAGAATAAATAAATACCTGTAGTAACAACACCAGCGAAAACCCAGCACTGTCCATACGGTACTTCTTGCTGTGTCTCCAAGTATTGCGCCAATATGTCTACAGAACCAGTCCATTCTGATGGTGCGGTTCCGTCTTCGTATTGTCCGTCCCAGCGACCGATGAGGACACCAGCGTCATCATTGGAATTGACGATTCGCGATATGACACGAGACATTTTCACTGGGTCTCCTCGTCTAAGGAAATAGGTTATAATTTAATAATTTGAACCCAAATATTGTGCAGTTCAGGATAGATAAGCACCATGATAACATATGTTTAATGAAAGAAGACAGAGAAGCATGAGATTCACCTGATAGGAGTTAAGGTCGCCATATAATGTATATGTTATAAATATTGAAGCGGCCCATAGACGATCAATATTGGGGCGATAATATTGATCAGTCTGTGGTCGGCCGCTCACAGACGCTTCAATGTTGTCTACATACGATAGATTTTATTGTACAACCTGCGATATTGCACAATAATATTGATCGTCTATGGGCCGCTTAAAAGATGTGTCTGTAGTTTACGCAAGTGCTTAGTTGACATTTCAATAAAACACTTTAACGGCTTAAAACGCGGAGACACCTTGGACCATGGCTTTTAAAAGCATTTTCGGATGTCAAACCATTGTCAAATATAATTTTCAAATAAGTTCAACTAAAATACATCGCGTTTAAAACCGTTAAAGTGTTTTATTTAAAAGATGAGTCGACTTATTTTTGGTTATTTCACGGCTTTTCCAGCCATGGTCTTGGGGTGTAAAAAAGTTTAACGTATATTTTGCGTTTTTAACCGTTAAAGTGTTTTTTTTTTAATCTATAATTCTACTTACTGGTGGAAAGGTATTTCGGCTCTGTCTAACATAAACATACAAGCAGGTAGCACAACAGCGTCGAATTGGCCGTAGAACCAGGGCTTCCCACGCGTGGTCTTAATTGGCCCAACCCACACTTTGCCGACGTCGTTCATCACATACTCTTCTAAGAGAGTCGAGTCTTCCATGTATGTTTGATCATCTAGAATACAAGAGGTTTAAATACTGTCTGTAGTTTACGCGAGTAGTACAGATTTAAATAAAACACTTTAACGGTTTAAAACGCGATATATTTTAATTAGTGAGTCGGTCTCCCCGTGACCATCGCTTCTGCAAAGCATCCGAAACGTCGGGCTAGTTAAAAATAAAAATATATTTCAAATCAGTTTAATTAAAATATATCGCGTTTTAACCGTTAAAGTGTTTTATTTAAATACAAGAGGTTAGAAAATTTTCATATTTTTCACATTTTATTGCACATGATGGCACTATATCAACGAATTGAGCTATCGTGAAAATTGTTAAGAGCACGGAACGCTGAGCATGCCAGTTCAAGTCCTTCTATGCCGTATTTTTTTAAATCGATTTTTAACTTAATAGTTTGCAATTTAAAATAAAAGTCCAATGCGTTATTTGCAATATTTCCAGAGATCCGAAATCAATTTGTGAACACCGTACCAGAAAAGCACTGTTATCTGTCTATCACCAAACGAATCTTAGCAATTATGATTGTAAGACATTTAAAGAAAATAAAGGAAACTATTATAAAAAAAAATTAACAAGTTCAATTTTTTGATAGGTAGCAATGTAGTTAATAATCAAGAGGGTTTAATCCCCACCAGGTCTAACATGTTTTTAAAATGAAATAATTCTTGAAACATGTACTTCGTCTAGTTATCTGGATATTAATTTGGTGGTGGAATATTGATATTCCGTCCGAGTCGCGAACCACCACCCACAGTAAGAACCATCAAGTATATCGCGTAACGGTTTGAGACTGTGCATTTCCAAATATGTTAAGCCAAAATAGCATTTTGTTTAGATGGTATATGTGTCCTGTCCTGCTCTATCATAAAAAAAAAACACTTGAAAATCCGATCTTACCCGGGTTCCATGGATTGAAAAGTATATAGAGATCCTGGTCAAAGTCGTAGATTTCTCGAACTGGAGTACTCTTCAATCTGGTAACAACACGCAAAGCCCAGCAACCGATAGGTAAGTTCACTGGCGTGGAGACCTATTAAAAAATACAAATAACGAATTAAGTACGTAGTCCAACACTCTGGGCTATAAAACACGCTGCGAGCAACACGATCGAAAAAAGAGTGGAAAATGTTGAAAAACGGAGAAAAATTATTCATCTTTGAGTTGCGCGCGCGCGGATTTAAAAGAATGAAATACTGTCTAGAGCTTACGCGCGTAGTACCTACACATTTAAATAAAACCATTTTAACGGTTTCAAACGCGATATATTAGTTAAACTTGTTAGAAAATTATTCTATTTTTATTAATTAACTATAGACAATAGTTTACGCGAGTACTACCTACACATTTAAATAAAACACATTAACGGTTTAAAACGCGATATATTAGTTAAACTTGTTAGGAAATTATTCTATTTCTATTAATTATTTAAATGTAAAAGAATGTTTCTTCTTTAAATTATCTAAAAAAAACGTCCACAGCGGTATATATATATTTTAAGATCGGTAAGCTATCTTTTAAGTTTAACTTCCACGAACGACGGGACGCGATCGATGTCGTGGGTATTAGCTATATTTAAGAAGGATGAGGATGGGTTACAAAAACAAATTTTCGATTCCAAAAATAACCATTCTAAGCGGACGAAGTCGCTGACACAGATAGTTTACATATGCCGAATCAAGTGGTCATTGCAGTGAGTTATATAAGTATTTAATAGATTTAGTTTATTGATAAAAACAAAACATTACTTATAGCAAGCTGAGATAATTTTGTCAATTTCGTCGCAGACTGGTCGAATGTTGAGAAAACAACTTTTTGTAACTCACGAAGCGACGTAGACTTAATTGGATATTCAATGATTCAATATTTAACCAAAAACCGATAACCGGTTGATCTGCGTATTTTTTGCCTTTTCAATCGGTTAGCTTCTTTTTCCTCAACCTTTAAATATATTAAAATTTAAATGTTATTATTTTTTCATTTAAAAACTAACGTTTTTATATATAATAAACAACATATTATCTATTACGCAAGTAACTTTAATTTAAATGTGTCCTTAAATAAAACACTTTAACGGTTTAAAACGTGATATTTACACGGAGACGGTCTCTCCGTGAACACGGTTGCTGCAAAGCATCCGAAATCACGTAGGGCCGTAGTAAAACAATTTACAAAAAAGTTTATCTAATATACATCGCATACTAAACCGTTAAAGTGTTTTATTTAAATACACAACTTTAGGAAAAATTACAAAGGAATATGATGGTATTATAAAAATTAAAAATCGTTTTTAGACTGAATTTACGACATGGGCGGAACTTAAACTGTAATAGAAATTGCGTCTAAAGCTCTTGTTTAGACACGGAACGCCGTAACATACCGGTTCAAGTCGTAATTTTTTTGGAGTCTAAAATGCATTTACAAAAAACCTCGTAGCCATTGACAAATTTACTTATCAATGCGTTAATCAGGGGTTTGAATCGAAATTAATTTTACAATTCCATTAACTATTAATAGAGACTGCGTCTGAATTATCTTTATGGAAACACGGTTTTTAATTAGGACTAATGTATTTACGGAGCCACTCAGAACATATCAATCTTTTTCTATTTCTTTTCTCCTGTACTTCAGGTTGCCTGGAAGAGATCGCTGCTCAGCGATAAGGCCCCCTTTTATTTATAAGTTAGTACGTAAGATGTTTTCTCTTTATATATGTGTATTTTTCTGTAATATTGGGTATAAATAAGAATAAATAATTTTAATAATTATTTTGAGCGCTAAAAAATATGTGCCATATTACATCACACAAACATTTTGGGAACAAAGACAATTCGTATGTTATGAATGATCAAAGTTAATTAAGTTGTTGCTTAGAATATAAATGTTTTATGATACTTTAAAACACAAAATATATTGCATTTTTATGATAATCTGACTATCATATTTAAATACAAAGACACGAAAAAACTGTACTTTGCATAAATTAACTTTATTTCGGCGGTTTAGGGGTATGTTGGTCCAATAGTAGTAATGTTTGAATAATCAAAGGGTCGTCGATTCGATTCTCAATTTGTCTACCATGTTTTTTAATTGTTATATATTCTTTGAAAACATTAATATTTTTCACATGTTATTGCACATAAATATATATATTCTTCTAAAACACGTTGGAAGGAAATCTGGATAATGTCTGGGTAAGGTCCACAGAAGACGTAACGTGAGAATCCGCTTTTTACTCTCAGTCTGTGGATTTCGGAATTTTCAAGTACTACTGAATGTACAAGTTATGAGTAAGCACGGCGTTCTGTGATCGTTGGTTCTTAACCTTGTAATCGAATTTAAGAAATCAAATTGATTTTTAATTATTATTACTTCGTTGCGTACTTCCTTCGTATCACGTTCTTCTTATATAAGATACACAAGTACTAAGTTTTAATGGACAAGTGTTAATTTCTCTATTTATTCATTATATTAATGTAACATGATATAATCCACTTAGCTTGCCAAATATTATTTCAATATTACGTTGTTAGGCCGTGGCGGATTTAATTATAGGCATATCTTCTGTAGTGTTGACCGCCTCTGTAGCCAAATGGTTAAACGTGTTGATGAATGAGGTCCTGGGTTTGAATCACAAGGAGTGTTTTAACGGTTTAAATCGCGATATATTAGTTAAACTTATTTGAAAATTATTTTTAACTTCGGCCCAACGTTTCGATGCTTTGCAGCAGCCGTGGACGCGGGCAGACTAATATATCGCGTTTTAAACCGTTAAAGTGTTTTATTTAAATGTGTACTACTCGCGTTAACTATAGACAGTCTTTTTATATATGGTTCAATTGTGTGTGTTAAGCATAGGAAGTCTTAGATTCGAATCCTAAGGAATACCGATTTTTAAACAACGGTACTTAGTGTAAAAAGTCGGTGTGTGAACAGACTTACTTCAAAAGATAAGGTATTTTCTTGAACATCTACAAGCTTAGCGGTCCAAGAGTATTTGTCGGGAACAGCGTCACGTTTCAGGAACATCGATCCCATTGTGTCCTGCTGCGGTTTGTCCCCTAAAAGGAAATAAATACATTTTCAAGAAATATAGGCATATAAACCTTTCATATTTTCCGTATGTGGCATGATGGCACTATATAAATAGCGCGAGAGATGCATGTATCAATAGGTTGATCCAATTTAAATAACAGTTAATTAAACTGTTAAAAAACGAAACATATTAGTTACCTATCTACAATATATTTTAACTATCTAATATCCGTGCAGTATTCACGTAAGCTTGTTATTATTTTTGTGTACAATATTTCATGGAATGGGAGTGTTTATTTGAGGCCACAAGCGGACAATGATATTATACAAGTACTTGTAAATATTAAAATAAACCTTAAGCAAAATAAATCTATTTTTTACAGTTGAACAGTGAACACACTTGGAACATTTATCACAGTTTTATTTTAAAGTTGGTGATACTTACCAAGAGAGAAGACCAGTTGAATGAGATCTTCATTTTCATCATAAGGTCTGGTGAATCTCACTACACCGTTAAAAGGCTGTCCCCGACGAACAATAGTAGTTGTTGGGTTTTCGTCATTCACAGCCTCGAATCTATGAGAAAATCATAATGTATTCTATAAATATTTGAAACCCTTCATGTTCATGATGGCATTGTATGAATTAAAAATCTATTATTATGAAAAAAAATTACACAAGCGTGACTTGAACTTGTTCTGCATTCTAACCAATTCAGACGGTTAAATAAGAATCACGGTAACTCCCGCCCCCGCCCGAGTCGTATTTTTTTTAATAAATAATTTTTTTTGCGGAGTACATAATTAAACCTACTTTTTTGGGTACTGTAATTGGGGTTTGCCACTTACAATCACGGCTGCTGTAAAGCATTTGATTAAGACAAATCATAATGAAGTTTAACAAGTACAGTTATATATATTACATAATTATTACATTTTATAATTATAACTGCTAATTATATGCCAAGAATCTAGTTTGTTTCTTTGCAAAACAGTAAATGAAGAATTGCACTTTGGTATTAATATATAATGGTTAAAATTACATTGCGCAAGAAGTGCATGTATCAATAAGTTGCAAAAACATCGACAATGATGTGTCGAACGCGGTAGCTCAATGTTCAATAGCACGTCGTTTAGGATGCCGGTTAGTAGTTATTTAATTCTATCGAGTCGATTTTTAATTCATTAATATATCTTTTTATATGTGGTAATCTCTACCGAGGGAGATATGTCGGAACGAGCATGCTAGCTTGACAGATGACGTAAAATAAGTTTTACTCACTTGACTGTATTGTGTGGTTGCGCATTTTCTCTGGGGTAAAAATGGACGACATCTACTTTTAAGGGCTCCATGCTGTTCTCTAAAAGTGAAAACAATGAAATATTAAAGCCACTTCTATTACGTACATACGAGTTAAGAATAGGGCTCTATTATATATTCTTCTAATAATGAGGAAAACATAGTTCACTCGAATTTGATTCAAATCCACAGACTGAAACCGAAACACGATCAGCTACACGTGTGCTTGTTAGGGGGGAGGGTCGTGAACCCCAAACATGGAATTATCTATATCCCTGACCACCCTATATATGGCATTTTAAACCGTCAAACAGTGTTCTTATTTTTTAAATTTCTTTTTGCGGCTTAATTGTGTAGGTATACCTGTTTAGTTTTAATATGGTCAGAAAAGCAGTGTATATTATTTAGCTGAAGGGAATACCCCGAAATGAAACAATTAATAAATAAAACAGTGCTGCAGAATTTGTCTATCTGGGGTTTTAACATTATAAACTAACTATACAAAGTTGTTATACAAGCTAAAGGGACGTGTACACTGTACTATAGAAGTGCAATAGGGCTAAAAATAGCTGTGTAACATCATCATTGGCTGATGCATTCAAATGAATCAATTACTATGATTTGAAACGACCATAAGTGTATTATTTCCAATTTTCTTTACGATTGATTCGGAGAAACGCTCTATTAGCTTCCAAGTATTTCTAATGTTTGTAATTGATACCTTTAAAAGCGATATACAATTATATATGTATTTATTTATATTAAACAGCCGCCTCTGTAGCAAAATGGTTAAACGTGTTGCCTAGCAGTGCGTTAAGCTTGAAAGGTCCTGGGTTCGAATCCAGGGGAATTTAAAATTTCCCCTTTTTTTTCCCCCCGGTCCCCCCTTTTTAAAAAAACCCCTTTTGTTTTTTTTCGGCCTTTTTTTTTTCCCCCCCCCCCCCCCCCCCCCCCCCCCCCCCCCCCCCCCGGGGGGGGGGGTTAAACACCCCCCCCTTTTTTTTTTTTTTTTTTTTTTTTTTAGAGCAATGGAATTGTTTCGGTCGAACAGGGCACGTCTAATCAACTACTTACCTATATAAGAAGCGATCAGTCAAATAAAACTAAAATGGATCAGTGGATGCCGAATCAAGTGTCGCACGTATAGTTAGTTATCTTTCTTTATAAAAAAAAATACGAAACTTATTATAATTTTATATTAGGCGAAAAAGTGAACACAAAAAATAATGGTACAGACAAATCTTTGTAACTGATACACTTAAATAAATTAACATAACAAAAAACACTGCAAACAGTCAACTAAAAACACTAAGTAAAAGGTACTTAGTTTAAACTAAATAGAAATCATAAATTAATTAACGATTCGTAATTTTGCAGTCGGTACCAACTAAATAATACAAGAACCTAACTATAATATGAAATTACTTTGTACACAAAAATCACTTTTGGGATAGCTGTGGAAAGTGGGCCTTCTTTATTACAATTAAATAATTATCTATTAATTAGTTCTCCAACACAAAACATCACAATTAATTTCCTTATTTTGAAGTCGCTTAAACAAAATATCGTTACTTAAAACACTATTAACGGCAAGATATACAAACAACATTTATTAATTACGATTAGTAGTAAAGACTTCTCCCTCTGTCCAAAACTTGCTTTTGCAAGATTCGAATCTAGAACCCCTTGCACATATGTAAGCGATGCTTTTAATCATTTAGCCACTTAAGAGACTTGTACGATACATGTCTAAAGTTTGACAATCTGTTATCAAGCCGTGAACACAATGACCCCGGATAATTATCATTAAAATATTAGGACTAATTAAATATAGACAATGTTAAAATTAAATTAAAATTAAACATGTGTTTTATAAAATTGAATCATTACCATACAATAATGGGAGAATGTTGTAATTTTTTAACAGAGGAGGAGACGAATAGGGTTAATTGTCAGGAGATGCGCTATCGGCCTATTCGGGGTTTTGACATTGGATAACTTTACCACTTCACTGCTTTTTTATTAGTAGACGGTGATTCTTGACCCGGATGAAATTTCTATATTCCTACCATCCATGTAATATCGATATATTTCCAGATGAAGTCAGAAAATTTATAAATTGATTTTTAAAACACCAACGAAAGTAGATAGTATATTGGACATTCACATACCTTTCAACAGTAAAATAAAAACACCTTTTCACAGTACAATATCGATTTGAACAATTGTTTTAACCGAAATCACTAATCTTAATTATTGAAATATTCGTTAATATGGATTAATCGATGGAGTCGAATTCAATGCGCACACGCAACTAACGCGAGATGCTGAAAGCGTAGGATATATCTTGACATAGCAGTCGGTATAAAGTTTTGTAGGTTTAGTATGTTTTATGAATATTTTGGGACTGTTTTTAAAAATGCTTATTCTTTATGGAATTAGTGGTTATAAGGTACTTACTAAATATTAAAATTAGGAAATTCAACAAAACAACAGTTGACATAAAATATTACTATTTTTTAAAGTTAAATCAATGACGACAGTTTTCTGAAGCATTTTGCTTCAAGTTCAAACATTTTCTCTTCATTTATAAATGTAATATTGCGCCTGCGCTATGCAAAACATAAAAACATTGTGATTTCAACTTTAATGATCTATCGTGGGGTAGAAAAATAAGGACATTGAAATTCGTTTAAACCGTTAAAGTGTTTTATTTAAAAGCTATAATAAAGTCTAAAGTTCAAAATCATGGTCACACTACACTGACGTATAGGCGCGAGCGCCGAATTCATTGTCGTCTTATAAATAAATGTTTATACAGAAACAGACAGTGATTCCCAAAGGTCGAACACCGACACGTCATATTATGTCATTGAAATGACGATATTTGTATGGATTTTCCTTTAGTTACGTGAAAATCAATTCGTAATAATGACGATCGGTCATTTTAGGAATTATTTCCTATCAAGTAATTATTCAATTTCGGTCATAAATAGAACTTCAATTTTGTGACACACACACACTTTGATCACATGGTAATTACCAACGGATCGTGGCTTCGATTCCTAACGCGTTCAACACGTTTTTAGAACCTTTTTGCTTTGTCTGAAAAAGGTTTTTTACTTACGTTAATAGAAGAGTGAAGTGTTTATTCGCGTTTCGTCCTGTGGATGTGACAACGCGTTTGAATTAAGATTCCTTTAAGTAGACGCCATGCTTATCTATTCTCCTCTGTCATACGAAAAAACCTACAATCTTAATCTAAACTTAAACAGAGTTAAACAACTTTATTAAATAAACATGATAGATCACACTGACGGAATAAATTATCATCACACACCAAGTGCTGTCTGTATTTTACGCCAGTAGAACACATTTAAATAAAACACTTATAACGGTTTTAAAAGACAAATATTCTAGTAACCAACTATAACGAAACAGATGGCGCGGGTGTAGCAATATTTTTTTTATATTACGCCACCCTTGATCTCACCCCCTTGACTACAGTTGCTGCAAAGCATCCGAAACGTCGGGTCATAGAATAAACTGTGAATAAATTAACTTATATTTCGCGTTTAAACCATTATATAACTTTTTTATTTTCTTCGATGTATTCTAAATATACTTGGAGTTACATTGTAAGAGTTATATGGTTTCTGTGCTTGCGCACCTTAACACCTTGTATTCATCTCTTTGGTCGCCATGTAGCGGAGTAGAAGATCGTTCCATTTTTAAATTACACGACAAATATGCAACATAGTTACTGTTTGGCCGCCAAATACGACAGATATGGAATTTCATAAAACTATTGCCGGCTCGACCAGTACAGCAAGTGGTCAAAACTATTTTCAAAGTTCCAAGCATGATTGAAAAAAAAGGTTATTTTAATACACCTTCACAGTATTAAACATATATATGCTTTTCTAGATAATAGATTATTTTTAGACACCCGGTCATAAACCTAGTTCCAGACAGTAGGTGCTAGGAAATAACTCTTATTCTAGACTAGTTTATTTGGCACCGGCTCAAATATTGACTTCTTCGAAACTATTTCACTATCGAGAATTTATATCCTTTGCTCCGATCTCTATATTAGTTTCTGCTTGCCAAATTTTATCGTAAAAAAATCCTACTGAATTTTAGTCGATTTTTTTTTGTACTAAATACTGTCTATAGTTTACGCGAGTAGTATACATTTAAATAAAACACTTTACCGGTTTAAAACGCGATGTATATTAGTTAAACTTATTTCAAAATTATTTTTGACTTCGGCCCGACTTTTCGAATGTTTAGGAGCAGCCGCCGTCACGGGGAGACTAAAGATGGAGGATGTCTCTGACGTCAAAGTAAAAATTGCTACACTAGCCGCTTGCCGAAGTTAAAAATAGTGTTAAGTAATATATATCGCGTTTTAAACCGTTAAAGTGTTTTATTTAAATCCATAAATCATATTATTAATAATTGTATCTAATATTAATACACACGAAAATGTATTTATTGATTGCTGAAAATGCATCTCTTATATCTCTAGTCAAAACCACTTGTATTTACAATAAAAATGAAGTAAGTGTATTAAATCGATGATTATAATCGTTGTCTTATAATAATAATTAGGTAAACTTATTCTTATCTACAACCTGACGTTTCGGATACTGTAATCCCGTCTCCATTACCATGGCTGCGATAAATTTAGATATTAGATGCGATAGATTTAAAGTATTTTTAAACAGTTAAGTTTTTTATTTAATATGTACCACTAGCCCTATTTAAAGACAATAATTAACAATATTGGACTTTAGAGTTCCGTAAGTAAGCGCCTACTTGTACGGGTTGTTTGTCAGAATCTATTGGAATTCCGTTTAAGTGGAAAACTAAATAAGCTATGTAACTACCTCTTTCTGTTTCTGCTATAAGGGTTAACAAGAAAAACTAATTTTTAAGTAAGTTACAAATCTAAGTATTATTAAGCTGAAGAGTCTATTTCTTAATTTGTCTGTTGGACAGATTTATCAAGAGAGTACACCATGCAACGACCAATAGGACCGAAGTGAGC